ATATTTAATATGCCATGGTACAATATTTGGGATAGCATAGTCTCAACCTCAACATTCTCCCTTCTGAAACTTTCCCCTAAGAAGTCTTACTGTCCATATACTGAGTTGGTAGATTGTGCCATAATACACTGACTTAGTCTCACAGTCCTGAAAATAGGTGAGTCCAGTTAAACAGTTCATTTCACTTCAGGAAGAGGTACTAAAGGTGAGTGTAGGTATCCATCTAAGTTTGGTCTTTATATGGTGGGAGCAATCAGCTATTTAATGAGAGCTATTTTTATGGAAACAAAAGAAAAGCAAAGAGTTAACAGTTGGAGCAAATTATAAACTTACTTTTTGAGTCCAGTGGGCAGTTTGTTGAAAAGATTTCTGGATGTAAACTTGAAGCATCTTTAGATATTGGAATGAGGACAAGCTGTAGCAATCTGGTAGGTTTTCCTGATTTCCAGTTTGAATGTCTTTGGTAATATCATTGGGTGTTTCAGCAAACTTCATGAGTGACCCAAGCAACAGGCTCAAAGGTTGCCAATACATTATCTGTTGCGGTGATTTAAGTTTATATCAAATTGCACAGCTTTAGCTTACTAGTTTCTTCAGATAGTCCAAATAAGAATCTGAGTAGTGAGATTTTAGCTGTTAGTGGTGCCAAGTCAAGAGGATGAGAGAAAAACTAGAAATGTTAATTTGGAGGGCTGTAGACGGCTGTTGGAGGAAAAGAGATTTAGGATCCAGTCAAGTTTATAGGCAGAAAGCAAAACCCTAAAGACAATGAACAGGACAAAAACTGAATATCCACAAAGGTATGTTATAGTTTCCCATTGAAACATCATTTTTCTATCCATAATCACTGCCATTTCTATCAAATATAATCAAAATAAGGCTAATGTGTTTGCAAAATAAGTCTAGGATCACTAAACTTAGCCTGCTTATTTACATCACTGTAATAAGAATAGTCATTAACTACTTAGGTCTCATTTTTCTTTTAGTTAGCGTTACTGGAACTTTTCATAAGCAATTACAGATTAGACTACTAAAAGCCTCTTTTATTTTTTATTTTTTTTTTTGAGACAGAGCCTCAAGCTGTCCCCCTGGGTAGAGTGCCGTGGCTTTACAGCTCACAGCAATCTCCAACTCCTGGGCTCAAGCGAGTCTCCTGCCTCCGCCTCCCAAGTAGCTGGGACCACAGGCACCCGCCACAACGCCCGGCTATTTTTTGGTTGCAGCCGTCATTGTTGGTTTGGCGGGTCCGGACTGGGGATTCGAACCTGCCACCTTAGGTGTACATGGCTGGCGCCTTAGCCGGTTGAGCTATAGGCGCTGAGCCTATTAAAAGCCTCTTAAGACAAGAAAGTGATGCCAAAGACTCACCATCAGCTTTTGCCTGAAATACCTATACATTTTGATAAATTTCTCTCTTCTCGGGGTGGTGTCTGTGGCTCAAAGGAGTAAGGTACCTGCCCCATATGCTGGAGGTGATGGGTTCAAACCCACCCCCTGGCCAAAAACTGAAAAAAATAAAAAGAAAGATGGAGATTAAAAAAAAAAATTTCTCTCTTCTCAAGGTTCCCAGAATAGTCTGAGGATCCTGGGCCTGCCAAAAAGTGACCTTCCTTACTCACCTGTAAGTCAGGTAGCAAGCTATTTTATTTTTCTGCAAGAGTGTTTTGTAAGAAATGGCTCCATAAAATCAACTTTAGCGCTTTAAAATCAGACATTTCAGTCAGCGCCTTGGTAATATAACCCCAAGTACGTCTTGTTATAAGGAGATAAGATTCTTCTTGCATATATGCAAATAACTATCTTGTTATGAAAATAGGAGTACTTGCTAATAATTTCCAAACTTTGAAGGGATCAAGTAGGAAGAAAAAGTAAATGCTTTATTTTTGTTTACATAGGCATACTTTACCCAATAACTGTAAGCTATAGACAGATTAAGAGAAAAGAGAGATAGGCATCTTAATTCTGAAAAATAAAACATTAAAGAACCAGCAATGTTCCAAAACAAAATCCGTAATTATCCTTTATCAATTCATTCAGCTCTATGTAACTAATTCTTGTTCTTCTTTTTCTTGAGTTAGTAGTTTTATGAACCCATCAGTTTCTTTTATTAGAGTTCTCAAAATTCTTACCCAATCCAATGGCATAATCTGAAAGTTATCAAAAATCTGTATTCCTGAATACTTTCTTTTCCATTAATCTCTTTTAAAGTGAAGTAATTTTGCCTAGGTGATTGCAAAAAATTTCAGGAACAATCAGAGTGAACAATAACTACCCTTGAAGGACAAAAGACTAAAAATAACCCTGGTTAAAGATCTGGTGAGAATTCATTATGATGTAATTGGGAAAGAAATTTGGTTACTTCTGCGGCATAGCACAATTCAAGGTAATAATTGGAATCATGACTAATAACATTATTTATGCCAGGCATTTAAAAAATAGGGGTATTAATACATTTCTATTCCAAAACATTTATATTGGTAAGATATACCCATCCAAATATAACATACAGAAGGCTTTAGCATCACTTCTTAATTGAAAATGCTTCCTGTGTAATTTAACAACAAATAAATATAATTAGTTTAATGTTTCTCTTTTACAAAATGAGAAAATAAATCCTCTGATATTTACATGGGGCACTCTGGGACATTTTAAGTTAATTTAGAATCTGATTTAATTTAGAATCTGATTTAATTAAGTCAAAAAGACTTAATTTAGAATCTGATTTGGGGAAATTAATCAAAAATGTCAAAGTGGTCCGGGTAGGGTGGCTCACACTTGTAATCTCTTGGCACTTGGGAGGCCAAGGTGGGCAGATTGTCTGAGCTCACAGGTTCCAGACCAGCCTGAGCAAAAGTGAGGCCCCATCTCACTTTTGGGGCAAAACAAAAAAACAAACAAACAAAAAAACGTGGTGTTGTTTTGTGCCCCTGTAGTCCCAGCTATTTGGGAGGCTGATGCAAGAGCATAGCTTAAGCCCATGAGTTTGAGGTTGCTGTGAGCTGTGATGCCACAGCACTCTACCAAGGGGGACAATGTGAGACTCTGTCTAAGAAAAAAAGAGAGACAAAAATGTCAAAATGTTTGAACACTTGATTAAATAGGATTCTTGATCACTATGAGACAATATTTAGTTATCTGATAACTAAAGTGACAATGAAAGTTGTTTTTTTTTTTTAAAGGCAAACACGAAACAAAGTATATTGAGGAAGAGAAAGACAGGTTTACAGACTAAGAAAGCTTACAAAGCAGGATCCATTCACCATCGACAGCCAACAGCCTCGATTGCCAGGACAAGTAGGCAAAGAGGCCAACAATAAAAGATTTTAAAGACAAATACAGAAAGTTATATAGCTGTGAACAAAACCTAGCAATTTTAGTATTGAAAAGACTCAACTTTCATAAGTAATCAAAGACCTGATAAAGACGACATGAAGTTCAGGGAATTATTCTGATAAAACACAAATTTTTGTTTTCTAGGCAGATTACTTCAAAAGTAAAGAAATGCCTTTTGGGCGGTGTCTGTGACTCAAAGGAGTAGGGTGCCAGCCCCATATGCTGGAGGTGGTGGGTTCAAACCCAGCCCTGGCCAAAAATTGCAAAATAAATAAATTTAAAAAATGCCTTTTTATAATTTTCTATTAGGAGAAGACGGATAATTGAAGAAAGTGTTGTCATTTTACTTTTGCATCAGTACACTTATATTAAAGTTCATTTTAAAGAAAACTTATAAATAAACAAATCTATTCAATCTTAGCAGCTTGGCCACATATAAAATTCCTTTTCTACAAAGCTACCTTTTTTTTTTTTTTTGTATTATCTATTAGATTTTATCCTACTTGTTTTATCTTTGCTCATTCTGAAACAACCAGTCATTCTACTTTAGGACAGAATTATTCTCTTTTTCTATTAACAAAAACAAATCCATCATACATTTCTTATTCAAAACTACATCTAACTAACTTTTAAAAAATCATTATGGGTACATTTTTTTGTAAAATGTAGGGTATGTGTGATGTTTGGATATAGGCACACAATGTGAAATAATCAAACCAGGGTCATTGGGGTGGGTATCTAACAGCTCAAGCATCTCTCCTTCCTCTGTGTTAGGAATATTCTTATCCACTCTTTTAGTTATTATCAATATATCACCGAAATAAAAAAACATAAAAAGTTAAAACATGTGGTCTTAAAAACTGCTGTATTTGACAAACATCATCAAGCAATTCATTTTTATTGTACATTTTGTTCTTAGGTTAGATTTATAGTTTTATAACCTTAAATATCTAGTAGAGATAACAGAAGATGGTTTGACACAAAGTTGTATGTTTGCATTATATTTAATACTGACAACCCCAAGGCATATCCTTTTTTTTTTTTTTAACTAAACTAACAATATTCTTCTTTACCAAAGATAACCCAATTCACAGGAACTGTAAAATCATTTGGGTTAGCTCTTATTTTTCTGAGTGAAAACTTAATTTATGTGAGTAGATTTTTTTTTGTAGTTTTTGGCAGGGGCTGGTTTTGAACCCACCAACTCCGGCTTATGGGGCCGGCGCCCTACTCCTTTGAGCCACAGGCACTGCCCTGAGTAGATTTTTTTTGTCAGTTAAATTGTACTTTTTACAAATTAATTTTGGAAATACCATTCAGAGGTGGAAAAATAGCACATGTACATAACATATGCATAGACGCGTATGCACACACATGTAAACAGATAGTATAGCTTTCTTTCTAAATCTTAGCCATGAGTAGGTACAAATACAGAAATACTAAATTCCACCCTTTGACAAAAGAGTTTATTCTCATTTTTAGCCTTATTCTTATTTTTTAATCCAAATTGTATTTTGAGCAGATAGAACAAGTTAAGGGTAGCTACTCAATGATGGCTATAACTTTTTTTTCAACCAATATTTGTACAGAAGGCTCTTAAAATTCTGATTTGTTCTGATATGTAATCTTACAACTATTTTTTTTCCAAGTTGACTTTTAATAGGCTTGTAAATGTGGAACGTTTTTTGAATTTGCATGTCATCCTTGTCCAGGGGCCAGCAAACCTCTGTATGATTCCAATTTTAGTATATGTGCTGCCCAAGCGAGCACAGGGTGGTGTCAACTATTAATACATTCTAGGCAAGTGACTATGGAGACACCTAGCGGCCGTCTGGGTGTTTTCAAAGCCCGTCTGAATGGATTCAATATTAAGAGCATTTTCAATTTACTTTTTGCTTTTACAGCCTCAGGCATTTGCTTTTGGGGATCCTGAGTCTCTTGAGAGCAGTGGGTCCTAAAGTTCAAGGACTGAGGTGTTGGAGTAGGGAGAGGTCTGGTTGGGGTGGACGGAAGGATGCAGCCGGTAGGGGTTGGAAGGGGGACATAGCAAAGAATTCAGGGAGCCGAAGGAAAGGTGGCAAAGGAGAATGCAGGCACAGCAGCTACGGGAAGGACGAAGTCTTAAGCCAGTTTAGGGAGCTCTTAGGTTCCCCAAGAAGCCAGTGATGTACCAGATTATCCTCTGCAGAATTGCCAACAAGAAGGGGGACAGAGTTGGAAGGGCACGTACTAGTCAGGAAGGATTTGGGAAGGGGGTTTTAGTTGACTGAGAATTTCTGATGGGAGGAACAGAAATTGCTTCAAATGGAACAGAGAGCCCTTGAAAAATTGGTCCTATCAAGTTCTGAATATCAACTTCCAATTAGGCCAACTTCTGACCATAGATTTTTTAAAAAATCTTTTCAAATATGTTATTATCAGGATTTAGCTGGGACAAACCATAAATATTCCTGACAGTATTATACTCTTTAAAAAAATTTTTTTTTAGGGCCAGGCGAGGTGGCTCACACCTGTAACCCCAGCGTTCTGGAAGGCTTAGGCAGGTGGATTGCTTGAGCTCACGAGTTTGAGAACAGCCTGAGCAAGAGCCAGACCCTGTCTCTTAAAAAAAAAAACAAAAACCCAGGCATTGTGGCAGACACCTGTAGTAACAGCTACTTGGGAGGTTGAGGTAAGAGGATGGCTTGAGCCCAAGAGTTTGAGGTTGCTGTGAGCTAGGACACCACAGCACTCTACTGGGGGCAAGAAAGGAAGACTCCTTCTCAAAAGAAATTTTTTTTTCTTTTTTTAAACCAAACCTATTTCAGTTGACCCAAAACAAAGACCAATAGGCCTTTTATGACTTAGTAAGATTTTTATAGTTTAACCATGACAAAAAGCCGTCCTCAAAGAGGGTACCAAAAATGCAGTCTTCTAAGATCTGGACCACTCCCAAAACCCAAAAAAAGGAAGACTCTGTCTTTCTTTTCTTTTCTTTTCTTTTTTGAGATGGAGCCTCAAGCTATCCCCCTGGGTAGAGTGCCGTGGCATCACAGCTCACAGCAACCTCCAACTCCTGGGCTCAAGCGAGTCTCCTGCCTCAGCCTCCCAAGTAGCTGGGACTACAGGCACCGGCCACAACGCCTGGCCATTTTTTGGTTGCAGCCATCCAAAAAACATCTGAATATCAATGTTTGGCGGGCCTGGGCTGGGGATTCGAACCCGCCACCTTAGGTGTATGTGGCTGGCACCTTAGCTGCTTGAGCCACAGGTGCCGAGCCAAGACTCTGTCTTCCGTGAGAGCTGGCTCATGCTTCCTCTGACAGGCTCTGGCAGGCAGAAAGCCATGTCAACTTCTCAGGGTGTAAAATGAGATAAACAGGAAAATGATAGCTGTCCCTGGGATGGAGGAGATTGGGGTACTCATAAGGGTCACAGTCCAAAGAACTGATCTATATACAAATGTTCTTCTTCTGTTCCTATTTGGAAAAAATTTTAAATATGTTAAAATTTGGAAGAAAAAAAAAGGAACAAGGAGAACTTTTTACTTTCTTCTGTCAACTGGGAACTACCAATGAAGAGCCAGGAAAGCTGACTCTGGAGACTTACCTTTCTCTGTTTCTTGTCAGTTTCTCAGGATCCCATCTGCAGGACTAAGAGTGAGTGAGCCATCCACTGTCCCTTTGGGGTCACCAGAAACTGTAAGGGAGGAAAAATACCTTTTTTTCCCCTGGACTTTTCAGTTCCCCGCTGAGGCCTCTCTAACAAGAGACAGATTAACAAGAGATATGTGTTCTGATTTATTGAATGTAAATTGTATGTGACATGGGAGTTTTCATAAAGAAACGAAGACCAGAAAAAGTCGTTAAACCTGGGTATTTTAATGCTAGGTTTGAAAAATCATGGAAAGTCATGGGCAGTTTGGAAAGTTCTGGAAGAATGTGGACAAAGGGTGTGAGCTAAAGGTAGCTAAGACCTGTTTGTGTGTATATATATTTTTTATTATTATTATTATTATTTTGCAATTTGGGGCTGGGGCTGGGTTTGAACCCATCACCTCCAATATATGAGGCCAGTGCCCTACTCCTTTGAGCCACAGGCACAACCCTTGTTTAAATTTTTTGGTGTCCTGCTTCTTTAGAGAAATGGATGTTCCTTTCCTCCAGGTACAGGAAGGGCACCTCTCTATGAGGGTCTGTGACCTTATTTAGGGGAGAAGGGCAAGGGAGAGTCAGAGAGTCTTTCCTGCTGTTTCTCAAATTCCTTCCGCTTAAAATACTCAACATGCAAAGGTGCACTGCAGGTGTGTCCTGAGCCCCATTACCTAATGCAGAACATTATGCTACGTGGGAAGAGGATCTGCCGAGGAGTGAGCAAAAGTAGATCAGGGTCAATCAGCAGAGACAGAAATTGTCCCCTGAGGCATTGCTGGATACAGTTATGCAGGCCACTATGTTCCTTTTTTGTTTCCAATCACTTGCAACAGAAAGAATTGTAAGTGACACAGCAGCTCTGTTTATTCATTTCTTACTTTGTGTCATTTACTGCGCTAGGTGCTTTCCATGTCTTCCCTCTTCTTTTAACTCCTCATGATAGCTTTGTGAAGTAGAGACGAGATATGTACTAATATTATTGGGGATCAGAGCATAAAAGCTGTTAAATAACTCATTGAAAATCATACAACCTGTAAATGGAAGACTCAGGATTTGAATCCAGTTTTATCCTTTTATCATAAAACTGGTATTCCCAGAAGGGATAAAACTGCACCCTTGTATAAGACCTTTAAAAATATGCCACCTTGGTGGGGGTGGGAGCGGGGAGGGGGGAGGGAGAGGGGTGGGTGTGCTCCCACTTAAGGGGCACAGTGTCAGGGTATATGGCATACCTCTTGGGGGCGGGACATAAATATAAGAGGCACTCTACCTAACAAATGCAGACACTATAACCTAATTCTTTGTACCCTCAAATTAACTTGAAACAATAATAAAAAATATAAAAAGTAAAAATAAAATAAAAATATACCACCTAGGGCCAGGCATGGTGGTTTATACCTGTAATCCTAGCAATTTGGGAGGCCAAGGAGGAGGATTGCATGAAGACAGGAATTCAAAACCATTCTGGGCAACATGGCATGACCCCATCTCTACAAAAAATAGAAAATTAGTTGGGCACCATGGTGCGCACCTGTAGTCCCAGCTACTAGGGAAGCTGAGACAGGAGGGTTGCTTGAGCTTAGGAGCTTGAGGTTACAGTGAGCTATGATGATGCCACTGCACTCTAGCCTAGGTGACAGAGCAAAACCCTGACTCATAAAATGACTTTTTATCTTCTAGGTAGATGTCCAGTAATGGGACTGCAGGATCAAATAGGAGGTCTAATTTGAGTTCTTTGAGAATTCTCCATGTTTTTCTCTAAAAACCAGCTCAATTTGAAGTTGCCAAATTGTGGAAACAATCTAAATGTCCACCAATCCAGGAATGGATTAACAAGCTGTGGTATATGTACACCATGGAATACTATTCAGCCATTGAAAGAGATGGAGACTTTACATTTTTTGTATTAACCTGGATGGAGGTGGAATACATTCTTCTTAGTAAAGCATCACAAGAACGGAGAAGCAAGAATCCAATGGACTCAATTCCGATATGGGGACAACAGATGACCTAATACATGGTGGGGATAGGGGAATGGGGGAGTGGGGAGAGGGAAGGAGGGAGGTGGGTGAGGGGTCACACTGTGTAACTTACCTCTTGGGGGCAGGACACATTTATAATAGGGACTTTACCTAACAAATACAATCAGTGTAACCTGGTTCTTTGTACCCTAGATGAATCCCAAACAATAAAAACAAAAACAAATTAAAAAAAAAAAAAGGAGCCCATTTTGGCATTATGTAATAGCAGTGCATTTCCATACAATGCAGACCTTCCCTGACTTCTCATTTCCTTGAGGAAATGGGTTACTATAGTCAGAGCCATCAAATTGATCCCTCAATTGCATACTATGCTGTATTATTTACTCACTGTCTTACTAGAAGTAACATTTTGCTCAGTGTTATATCATCAACACCTAGAATAGTGCCCAACCAGCACAACCATTAAATAATGTTTGTTGCATAATTAAAAGAACAAATGTGGGTTAGCTTTCTGTGACTCCATTGGACAGCTTGGAGAGAAGGAGAATACTTAAGAACATCATACACTTGCTAACATTGGCCCCCAATTTTTTTTTGTTTAATCTTTTACATCTTTACATAGTAGAGATTAAATGCAAGCACGTACATGCACACTTTGAGAGATTTATCAACCCTACCCTTAAAACAAGCTTATTTTTCTCAGTTTCCATAGCAGGATCTGCTTAGTGAAATTGAGTGTAGATATTCCCAAACTCTGCTTTCTTCCCTAAGGGCAAGGCAGGGTCTATGTACTGTTATGGTGGAATTGGCCCCAGTTTAGGAGCCTAAAAGCTCTGGGATCTCATTCTAGGGAAAAACCTTTTTGCATCCTTGTATCCCTATTTCCTTAGGTATAAAATAATAATTCAGACCAGTTTATCTCCCAGCTTTTTGTGGGGATCAAATTAATTATATGATTCTGAAGAGACTGAAAAGTGAAGAGTGATCTATAAGGAAAGGTATAAATTGGATTCATACTGTCTATGGATAAAAGAGGCTACAAATCTCATTTTAATAACTGAACTTTTTATATTGATCGACTGTGTGTGGTACAGGATTTGTCTGAATGCAAATTGGAAACAAGATAGCCAAATATGATTGGGAAAAAAGAAATTGG